ATAAGTCACCCTCACTGGTACACTTAACACCATTTACACATCGCAAGACAGTGTGCACATCAAAGATTAGTTTTTTGAGCCCACAAAACACTAGAGCTCCCAGTTCCTCTTTTGTATAATCCACGAATATAAAAGAGTGCATATAAAATTCTTGTAGTATGAGGGTATCACAATAAAGAGAGAGAAGAAAAATACTAGAGCCTCCCATCTCTTTCTAGCAGCAGCCATATCTTTCATTTGCTTCAACTCGTACTCTTCTTCAATAGCTTGCATTCTTATGCCACTCCTACACTGAACCAAACCCACAAATTAAAAATCTAAATATTTCAGAAAATTTACTCAAATAGTGAAACAAGAACACCCATAAATAAAAAAAAATTCGAAACTTGTATATACATTTTGCTTAATTTTGTGCGTATAAAAAGATGGGCATGAAGAAGTGGACAACTGCGTAGAGCCCGAAACGCTCTTCAATATCTTTGGCCTCTGAGAGATGCTGAGAAGGGGATGAAATCCCAAAGCTTCCATTTTTGAGGAATATGGTGCACAGTATGAATTGATGTTTATCTATATTTGTTTCTTGATTTTGTTTATACGAGTATCCGTGCTTATCTTTGGAATTGGATGGTGTTTGTAGAATGAATTTTGCTTTTGTTTTCACTTGTGTTTTTTTCCAAAATAATTTGTTTCTTTCTTTAAGCCCTCTCTTTTTCCTAACTCAAATCTTTAAAATTAATTATTTCTCAAATTCATTTTCAATTAAATTTTTCCAATAAAATAATTTTACACGTAAATTTAAAAAAAAAATCTTATTTTTTAACTACACATTATCAAAAAAATACTATTACAAAATCTATTAAACCAAACAATAAAATCTTTCTATTTGGTCCTTGGTCGAGTTGACTCGAACTTTATTTCTAATTCTTATTCACCTCTTTTATTCTTGTATATCGAGAACTTGAACATAAATGGTTGAACTATACTATTATACATGAAACTTTATTTTGTACAAAAAAGTTGAAACGAATTTATAAAGAAAATTATTAATAATTGTGAGATAAGGTCACTTGAAACAAATTATGTCGAGGCAATATATTAAACTTTAAAATTCTAATAGAGGTCGAGATTATCGCTCCTTGCTTTCAATGTTCAACATTGTGATACTACACACACTAAGACAAGAAAACAGTGTGCAAATTGTTGGAATTGGTTAGGTATAAAATCAAGGTAAAGTGATTTTTGTGTCAATTTCGACCAATTATTCGGACTTAAACAAATAGTCAAATTATGAAAATAAATAGACTAACTTATTTTACTCGTTGAGTAAATCGTTGTGGTATTTTTGAAATAACAAATCTAATTCAAAATGAACGAGAAATTGTGGTCCAATGTAAGAACAAAAGAAAGGAAAACTGGCTGAAAAATTGTCCAACTACACCGTTCGCCTATCGCTCGAAAGGTGAGGCTGTCGCTCGAGCGACAGAGTCTCTATTTCTAGTGTTCGAGCAACGCAAGGGCAACGGCTAGCGACAACAAAAACTGCGACCCTTGACAAATGTTGTTGAATTTTGAGGCGTGTCTCTTCACTCATAACATCCCATCATCTATAAATAAGACATTTGAGATGTCTATTACCTCATCTTTTCCTAGCCAAAACTCTGCATAAAAATTTGTTTTCCATTTTATTCTAGAAAGAGTACAAAAACCAATCTTCGGTTCGTTGTTCTTGTGTGTTGGAATGCTATAAACACAAGTAGATATAGTCGTTGTATCTTGAGAGTTGATTGTCATTAATTGTACGCACATTGCAGGGGCAAAATCTACTTAAGGACGGAGAGTTCAACTCTTACCTCGACTTTGCATCCAATTCTCTTGACGTTACTTTGTCATTCATTTTTTATATATATATATTTTATTACTCATTTTCTTGCCATTACTTTGTTCAACTTTTGGTAAGGTTGGTAAGTTTGATTTTTGGTCGACTTTAACTCAAATCTATTACTTACCAACACAAATCACCAAGCAAACTTTGGAGAAGTTCGAGATAAAAATCTTTTCATTTTGGGAAAACCATCTCTATCTAATAATTCACTTCAATTAACCGACTTCATAGGGGCGGCCTTAGTTAGGCATCATAACTAGAATATGTTTCGTTATTTCTTCTCATCTACTAAAAAAATGAGTACTTGTAACATCATTTTCAAAAACTCATTACACACTCGTGTGGAAGTGATTTCTCCCATTTATTTCTAAACGAACGTTCTCTAAAAAAAATCATTTTTTCTTTTACATTTTAACATAATTTTTTCATTTGTTTTAACCATGCATACTAAAAAATACATCATAAAACAAAAACAAAAAAAAGAAAAGAAAAACAACTCCATCACACGTACATGTAAGAATATATGCATCAAATTAATTAGTTGGGCCGAGTCCTAAAATAGTCTGATCACCCCTCTTGTGTTGGGGCAACGCAATTGTCTGGGCCTAAATTGATCATTAAGTTTGGGCTTCATTTTCGCGAATGACCGAACATAATGGTAACACCAAAGAATCAACTTTTCAATAGGAATTTGGGGACGGCAATAGAGGGGGATTGAAGAGTAGCATTCCCCCCTATCCCACACTCCGTTCAATTTTCGAGAATGAGGGGCAGGTGTTGAATGAAAAAATAGATTCCATGAACCTCGTTCTCTGCTTTCGATATGTGAGGGATAAAAAATACAAAAAACACTTGCACCAAGTGTAGGCAAGTCATTCCCCATCCAAGCTACCTAAAAATCATTATTAGAGTGCACATGGGCAAGTGTTCAAAACGTGATTTCAAAACTAAGGAATGCAAGACACGTAAGTTAATGAATAAAACGTGATGTTATAACAGAATAAGTTACAAACTAGCCCGCAAGAGGTCACCATCTGTCATTTTTCTTAAATTATCGTATTGCCCCAAAGCCTTGAGAAAAATTTATAAATGCTCCCTCTTAAAATAAGAAAACCATGCAAAATTCAAATATCTTCCTCTGAAATAGCTATTTCTTCTCTTGATTCGGTTTGAGCATCAAAATCATTGAATTTAGGAGGCGAAAATCTTATGTGAGAATAATTTGTTGATCTGATTTTTATCGTAAAAAACATGTAGCACTAGGACATTCAGATAAAATCAGTCCAAAAGTTTGTTAGTTAAGCGCCTCTACAGCAAGACACGTAGAATACAAAAGTTAACTAGATAATTAGGCCTCCGTTTGGATAATAATTTATAATGTTTTATAAATCCAGTCAAAAACTAATTTCAACTATACATTCATAAATATTATTTATAATCATTCACACTTTTTATGAGAGCAATTACTATTTTTCTTTATAAATCATTTATAAATTTGTCAAAGGAGGCCAAATTTGTACTCATATCTAAGAGTTTACGAGGTGGTTAAGGATATATATATACCTTGACTCGATTGGCTATAAAGAATGAAAAAGAGTTGTCACAGTTGAGTTGATTTACTTAAAAAGAAAATTTTATTTATATTGACGATTCAAATTTTATTACAACAAACAATGTTTAAAGATTTTTTAACGATTAAGAAACAAAATTCTTGAAGAAAAATAATCCTCATACATCCATATTCTATGTACGAAGATTTTAGATTGTCACAACTTATGGAGATAGTGGTTTAACCAATTTGCTTGAAATGATAAAAATAATGAATCAAAATGACTAAATATGAAATTGGTGGTTGCCACGTCCAATCACTAAAAACACTATGTCACCGTATATGTTGTTTTTTTCGTGGTCGACATAAATATGCATGAAAAACAATTTACTCACGTTGAATATATCACAATTGATTTTATAGCATACTATTATTTTTTTAATCAAATGCGAAATTGGTTCATCCAAGAACCAATTAAACTTGGTTGGTTAAAAAAATGAACTAAATAAAACCAAGTGCATCAAACATGTCGCAAAACTCTAACATGTCAAAACAAAAAAAATATTATATTTTTCTCGAGATATTACCACGTCACTTTCTAGTCTAGTGTTGATCAACCTATTCTATTAAAGGTCGTTATCCGAGAAAGATTATGTATTATGTTTACATTTTAAAAGTTACGAGTTTGACCAAACAAACACCTAGAGGGGGTGAATAGGTGTTTGTATATAAAATTTAAATTTTTTAATTAATAACAGCAACAAGTAACAATTATTAATTTTATCCAAATCAGTACTATCGTAAGTTGAATTATAGTAGTCAATATATTGCATAAAAATAAACAAAACCACGAAATTTTTGACAGATAAAAACCTTCGTGGGATAAAAACTCCAGGCTCAAGTGAGTAGTATCCACTATAAACGATAAAGGCTTACAGATTGTCCAGACTGCCTAAACCTTAGTACTTTCTAACATCCTAACTATAATCACCACGACCCTCTTGAATTGCGTACTCATGCACCAACTTTCGACTTTCTGAAATCGTTTATCTCCTAAGAATCACATGAGAACTTTTCGTCCTCATTCAATAACTCCGGTCACCTTCCTCGATCTTCAGAATTCTGACGATTATGCGGAAGTATGGGTTTTGGTGTTTTGATTATATGGAATTGATGTTTTCAATGATATTGGTTGAATCGATGGAGATTGAATAATATGTAGGATGCGATGAAAGCAAACTCTCTAATAAAATAATATTCAACCCAATCTTTTCATGAAGTGGGGCTTGGATATATATATATAGTATTTAGATTTTGAGGTAGTATATGATAGATAAGACTCTCAAAAAATATATATTATTTTGCTCGAGATATTACCACGTCACTTTCTAGTCTAGTGTTGATCAACCTATTCTATTAAAGGTCGTTATCCATGAAAGATTATGTATTATGTTTACATTTTAAAAGTTACGAGTTTGACCAAACAAACACCTAGAGGGGGTGAATAGGTGTTTGTATATGAAATTTAAATTTTTTAATTAATAACAACAACAAGTAACAATTATTAATTATATCCAAATGAGTAATATCGTAAGTTGAATTACAGTAGTCAATATATTGCATAAAAATAAACAAAACCACGAAATTTTTGACAGATAAAACCCTTCGTGGGATAAAAACTCCAGGCTCAAGTGAGTAGTATCCACTATAAACGATAAAGGTATACAGATTGTCCAGACTGCCTAAACCTTAGTACTTTCTAACATCCTGACTGTAATCACCACGACCCTCTTGGATTGCGTACTCATGCACCAGCTTTCGACTTTCTGAAATCGTTTATCTCTTGAGAATCACTTGAGAACTTTTCGTCCTTATTCAATAACTCCGGTCACCTTCCTCGATCTTCAGAATTCTGACAGATTATGCGGAAGTATGGGTTTTGGTGTTTTGATTATATGGAATTAATGTTTTCAATGATATTGGTTGAATCGATGGAGATTGAATAATATGTAGGATGCGATGAAAGCAATCTCTCTAATAAAATAATATTCAACCCAATCTTTTCATGAAGTGGGGCTTGGATATATATATAGTATT